GGACAGGCAGTGTCATTAGCATGGCTGGTTGAGTTTATAAATATGAATAAAGCTCAGACTCTGCTCTCTCTGTCTTCTGTCTGTGGGGCAGTTCTGGTTAACTTTACTACAATAACTGAACCTCTTTATGTGTGTTGATGTTTACACTTTTATGGAGTCTTTCCATTAACTAAAGCTGCTCTAGATGATTAAATGAAAGGTCCAGATATATACACCAGCACAGATATACGAGCACAGATATACCAGTACATATATACCAGCACAGATATTCAGTGATGTGCTGTTTTCAGGCCGCCGCTCAGCAGCAGGAGTCGGAGACCACGCAGAGGGCGGAGCGGGAAGTGACGCGGATGGTGGTTGTCATGGTGATTGCATTCTTAGTGTGCTGGGTGCCGTATGCTAGTGTGGCCTGGTACATCTTCGCTAACCAGGGCGCAGAGTTCGGTCCTGTGTTCATGACGGTTCCTGCCTTCTTTGCTAAGAGTGCAGCGCTCTATAACCCCGTCATCTACATCATGCTCAACAGACAGGTGAGACGCCGCTGACGTACACTACATCCACACTGCATTTGGGTTATACAAGGCCTGCTAATCAATACAGCTTAATTCTGTAAGAGCATCTGTGATTACACTACTGACTGTGGTATTGACACAACTCCCAAACCATTCAGCTCTCTATAACCTAAACAAATATACACTACACCTGTCCCCAGCCTGAAACCACAACTCACCTCATCAATACCACTAACCCATTACCTTTCATCACCCGAGCCTCCAACTTACCCAGACCGCTAACCCTTTACCTTACCCTAACCTCTGCACTTTGACCTTACCTCACCCGACCCTTCACCTTCCACATAACCCTAACAGGCTCGGTCATCTCCCCGCTGCAGCACACCTGTGTTTGCTCTGCTTGTTATTCTCCTGATCCGCTGTTCTGAAGTTCTGCTGTGGTTCTGTGTTGTCTTCAGTTCCGGAACTGCATGTTGTCAACGGTGTGCTGTGGGAAGAACCCGCTGGCCGAGGATGAGAGCAGCTCCGCCGTGTCCAGCAAGACCCAGTCCTCCGTGGTGTCCTCCGCTCAGGTGTCTCCAGCCTGAAGATCCCGCCCTTCTGCTGCCATCAGCCAATCAGAGCGCTCCACTGCTGCTGCGCGTTCTCAACTCTGTCATTGTACTTTATATGCAAAATAGATCAAGTGTTTCAGTGGCTGCGTCCCAAACCACACACTTCCCCCCTGCAGAATATCGGCAGAACAGTGTGCCTGAGCTCGGCATTTACAACAGCATGCGAGACGATCCCGGAGGATCTGCTACTGTCAGTGCATCCAATGTACGCTCCGCTATCCCATAATGCACCACAGGAGAATTCATCAATAAAAGTGCGGTCATGTGATCACCTGAATAACATTGACCCTACTCGCATGCACACTATATAGAGCACACTTTTCCAGCAGTGCTGTAGTAGACCTCAGTGTAAGTGTGGACCAGACTCCAGCAGTAGGGGCTTTCACACGTCACACTGATGTATGACAAGCGTGAGCTGACATGTTTGTAGTTTACACCTTTACCTGTGTTTGTAGTTCTAGTCAAATTCATCTTCAGTGTGCATTGCATTATGGGTAATATCAGCGCTTCTGCACTTCACATTCCTGCTGGAAACAGTGGAGCATCCAGAACCTTCCAGCACACTACAGTTTAGGGCCCTCATTCTGTGTTCAGTAGTGTTCAGGAGGGGTAGTGTGTGTGTGTGTGTGTGTGTGTGTGTGTGGATTGTGACGCAGCCGATGTGTTGATCTCAGCAGCTGTTGATTGGCTCTGCTGTGGTTAGATCAGTGTCAATATGAGGGTCCGGTTCCCCTTCACTGGAGGATCAGCAGCATCGAGGACGCTTAGATGTACAGAGCTCTGACCGTGTGTGTGTGTGTGTGTGTGTGTGTGTGTGATGATAAATAAATAATGGACATGTGACCCAAACAAACACACTTGTTGACTGGATTAAACCCCTCTGCATTCAGACAGGTCGCTCCTCGTGTCGAGTCTTGAGTAAAGTTCTCTTTATTGATGAATTTCCCTTTCTCCAGAACCAGATTAAAGATTTGAGCAGATTATCTACAGACGCGTGCGCAGGCCGAGCTCTGAGCTGTCAGAGAGAAGAGTTAATAAACCAGCAGAGTCCATCAGTCCAGTTCACATGAAGAACAGCGCAGGTACAGACGACCCGTCAGGACGACTCAACACCACGACACACACACACACACACACACACACACGGCGCACACACACACAC